TATTCGTAATGGAATTCAAATGTGATAGTGTCATTCCTTTATATTTGGCTGGAAAACCACGCGAGGCTATCGTTAGATCACTCCTACATTTAAATGTGGATAAATCTTTTGTGTCTGATGCCATCGCTCGTTACCGTGATACTGTTAGCGTAGCCCGACGCCAAGGAAGTGAACGGAAGAAAACAGTAACATCAGCAGAAATGGTTCGAAAAGTAAATAAGCGACTTGATCGAAACCCGCGTCGCAGTGGCCGACAAATGGCTCGTGAGCTAAACATATCGCAATATTCCATTCGGCAATTCCGAAAAGTGCAAGAAAATAGGCTCAAATGAGCTAAAGAGTCGCTTGACCGAAAGTGGTGAAATGCCGAATTAGGTTTTCTCCGATGAGAAAACATTTGTTGTCCAGCAGTTTGTAAACAAACAAAATGATCGTGTTTACTTGCCTAAGAAGTCAGCTGATGGTGTCGCCCATGGTGATGGTGTGGGCCGCCATAACAGCCGATGGTCGCTCTCCGCTCGTGTTAATCGACCATGGCATCAGAAATTAATGCCATGGCACGCAAACATTTTTGCCGCAGACCTTGGACATTCCAATAGGACTCAGCACCATCGCAAACAGCGCGCACCACCCATGAATGGTTACAAAATGAGCTTCCTCCAGCGTACAATGGCCACCAAAATCTCCGGACGCCAATCCGTTAGGCTATTTTGTCTGGAGTATTTTGGAAAGCAAGGTTGGTACTAAAAATACCAAAGTGTCGATCACCTCAAGCAAGCGCTTCGCCGGGAGTGGGGCAAAATACCGGAGAGCAACATTCGGCCATAATTTGCCAACGGTGACCAATTCCGACAGTTTTTGGTTTTCTTCAATAAAATTTAAAAAAAATAAATAAAAACTATGGCGTTTGACTTTGTTGTTTCTTTTTCTCACCATGTATGGTAGAGGGCATAAAAATGATTAAAACCCATAAATATCCGAAGACACTTTTAAAATAGTATGTTAACACTTATAAGTATCATGTAGAAAAAGAAAAAAATCAAAAATCTAATTATGTCTACAAACAAACATTTTGTAACTGGTTACAGAATATTTCAAGCGTCACGAATGGGAATAGTAAAAAATCTCTGATCTCGTTAATCAGCTCTGATCCTATAATTTCTTTTTAAATCAAATTATTCCTTTCAAATCCTTTTGTTTGAACTACAAGAAATACAAAAAAATGTTATATTTCCGACAACGAATGACTCATCCAAATTCCAAATAATTAATGTGTGGATATTTAAATGAAGAGGAAAATGAGATTTACACCGCTCTTATATCGACTACAAAAAGTCACATTTTCTACCACACAGAAAAACGTTAATCAACAACTTGACAAAAGCAAAAAAACGAACAAATAAGTTATTTTAAATTAAAAAATGTTACACAAAAAATGCCACTTCAATTTAAAACATTTAAATTGTAGTAAACCGAAACAAACATACGAAAGAAGGAAAAAATCAATAAATAAATAGTATTGTGTGGACATTTTGCCGCATTTGATTGTTAACTCATCCGCTTACATGGTCGGTCGGTCGGTCGGTCGGTCGGTCTGGGCGAGGGGAAATATAACCGTTGTATTAAATAATTACTGCACGAGTTGTGAAAAAATGAAACCGCTCATTCTTTTGCTGTTGCAGCTATTGCTTCTGTTGCTGTTATCCGACCACTATGGTCATGTGTATATGATATGGTCGACAACAATTGTCGTGTAGATATACATATACCGTTCCCAATACATATGTATATATTGGGTTCGTACGCATCAATCAATTTCATCAATTTAACAGACACACTGACAGATATGTTCGTTTTGCAGCGTTTCATTGTACTCAATTAACGATGTTGCTACTTTCTGTGGATGTGACTGTGTCGAAGTGAATTCGGGAAAATGGATTGGAATTTTTTATACATATGGATATATTGATTTCAGTAGTAAATATATATTAATTTTTTGGGATTAATATTCTGGGAAATTTATCTAGATATATAATATATTAAACAAGTAAAAACTGTAAGTTGAATACCCTCCACCATTTGGAGCGACTTTGATTATTTTCAAAAAAATAAAATCCGTCAAAAATCTATTAAAATTTTGTTGTTGCAAAATGGTCAGGCTTTATCCCTTTATTGTTGTTTTTATAAAAACAACGTTTATTTATTAGTGGAGAACGATGGTTATGTTTACCAGGGGTAAGGTAGGTTTCGGAAAGAGCCACCAATCCTCATCAGGATTGGTTGAACGAAAGCATAACAAGTGGAGAAAGATGTAAATGTTTATAAGTGCGGTTGTAAGATTTAGAAGACTTTCCAAAAGAATTTTAGTTTTATTTAATTCTTTCGTTCCTCTTCTATTGAGCTTACGATCTCGTCACTTGGGTAAAAAATGCTTTTTGTCATAGAAATTATTTTTAAAATAACTTCTGGGGAGAATATCCCAGACAAAAACAAGGGAACTGATGAGGGTTGGTGGCTCTTTCCGAAGCCTAGGTATTCCCTGCCTTACCCCCTGGTAAACATTACCATCGTTCTCCACTAATAAATAAACGTTGTTTTTATAAAAACAACAATAAAGGGATAAAGCCTGACCATTTTGCAACAACAAAATACAACGGTATCCCGAACAAACAAGCCAACACTGTTCAATCTATTAAAATCTTAAAAATATCGAATGTGGCCCCTACATTAGGATCTATAGGACAACGTGGACCTGCATAGGCAAATTTTGTCATAAGCCATTACAATATTCAAATGCGAAACTTGCAAAATAAATTCGGTGAATAATGTAGCTAAAATCATCCAAAATACCGAATATCGGGGGGCCCGTTATATGGGGACTATACCAAAACGTGGACCTGCAAAGACAATTTTCTGTCATAGGCTGTCCATTACGAACTTGAAATACCAAATTTGAAACAATTCTGATGAATAATGCCGCTAAAATCATCAAAATACTGAATTTCGGGAGGTACCGTTTTATAGGGGCTATACGAAGACATGGACCTGCACAGACAATTTTCTGTAATAGGCTGTAGTATCCATTATGATCTTCAAATACCAAACTTTGCTAAAAACATTAAAATACCGAATATCGGGGGGTACCGTTATATAGGGGCTATACGAAGATGTGGACCTGCACAGACAATTTTCTGACTTTGGCTGTACTATTTATAACGAACTTCAAATGGCAAACTTGAAACAATTCCGGTGAATAATGTCGCCAAAATCATCAAAATACCGAATATCGGGAGGTGCCGTCATATAGGCTATACGAAGACGTATAGCGAACTATTTTCTGTCATAAGCTGTAGTATCCATTATTACTTCAAGTACCAAATTTGAAACAATTCCGGTGAATAATGTCGCTAAAATTATCAAAATACCGAATATCGGGAGGTACCGTTAAATGGAGGCTATATGAAGACGTGATCCTGCACAGACAATTTTCTGTCTTAGGCTGTAGTATCCATTACGAACTTCAAATACCAAATTTGAAACAATTCCGGTGAATAATGTGGCTTAAATCACCAAAGTACCGAATGCAGGGGGTACCATTACATGGGGGCTATACCAAAACGTGGGCATACATGGCCCATTTTCAATACCAAAAGTTCGGCAGACATAATATACATTTGAGTAAAATTGTATCAATCTACTGTATTTCGTTCGGAAGCTAGAGTGATTTCCACAGACGGATAGGCGGACGGACGGACATCGCTAAATCGACATAGAATTTTATGCTGATCAAGAATATATATACTTTGTGGGGTCTAAAATGTATATTTCGAGGTGTTACAAGCGGAATGACAAACTTAAAATAACCTTAATACAATGGTGGAGGATGAGGTCTAAAATATATATTTCGAGGTGTTACAAACGGAATGACAAACTTAATATTACCTTCATACAGTGGTGGAGGGTGAGGTCTAAAATATATATTTCGAGTTCTTACAAACGGATAGTATAACCTTCATACAATGGTGGAGGGTATAAAAGGAGTAATATGATTGTTAGCTCAATCCCTTGAAAATATCGCTCAATTCTAGTGGAGTAATCCTCCGTATCTTTTAACTCTAACAGCACACAAGTCGGACACAACTGAACCAGCATAAGCTGGCCTCAGTACAGGGTGTCCGAAATTGCAACCCTTAAAAATTATGCCTGCATTTAGCAATTTCTTTCTTTATTTTTGTTTCTGCATGAGTTAGGCCATTCTTCTTTTCATTGGATCATACCTTATAACGCCTTGTTTTCATGCGCTCCCCACACACATATTCATGAATAGCACCAACATATGAACAGAAATACTTATAAAATGACAGCATATCAAAAAAAAAGAAAAACAAAAAGGCGATGAATGGTAGTCACAACAGGATGACCAAAAGAAAAGTCAAAATGCAAATGAATCAGCAGACCAAACGGCGGACCGACAGTCCATTCAAGGCAACAACTTTCACTGGCATTGCAAAGGTATGCCGGCGAAGTAACTGCAATGAGACTACGGCTCAATGGTGTGAATAGCCGCGAAAAACTATGTCGGCTGAACGAACGAACGAACGTTTGTTTGGAAACCAATGATGAGTTAAAAATGCTTGAAATGCAAATTGTCAATAATGAATAGCAATGAGCGATGAGTGAGCGAATGAATGAACGAATGAATCGCTTTCATCATCATGACAGCTATAAAATGCATTTCATCGCGGTACATGCATATGTATATGGGCAATTACGCAGCATTTCACCTGGGAATTGTGATGAGCAGTGCAAATAGATTTTTGAGAACCACAAATGATGAACTCCATTTAAATTGCTTTGAAGACCTAAATATCAAAGAGATTGATTGCAAATGTTGTAGCATTCAATAATATTCGCAATTTATTTCCAATGCCCTGGATTATTAACGACAGCATGACCCATATGTTTTGTTATGCAAATCATGATATTCAGATTTGACTTACCCCAATGCAATATAACTTAATTCTCCTCCATTGAAATGCCAGCACATAGGCGAAAAAAAATGATCCATTAAAAGACGCACTTTATTCCACTTATTTTATGAGGTCAATTGGTTTCAAATAATTTGCAAATTAAATATATACTACAATCAATATTATGAATTTGAATGCCGGAAAATTATTTATCTTTTTTTCGATGATTATGACAATTTTCGATTATATTCTATTGGATTGCCAAAGTTAAATTTTACATTTTTGAGGTTTTACTGAAGGTTTCTTTGTTATTTGAAAATTTGTTCAATATCTATTTGGTAGAATGGTACAAGTAGAATGGTATGGTAGAATTAACAAGTAAAAAGGCTGTAAGTTCGGCCGGACCGAATTTTGAATGCCCCCCACCATTTTGAACGAATTTGGCATATTTCAAAATATTTATTTCAAATATTTAAAATCCGTTAAAAATTCTGTTAAAATCTTAAAAATATCGAATGTAGCTGTTGTATTAGGGTCTACTCGACGACATTGATCTGCATAGGTAAAATTTGTCATAAACCAATGCGAAACTTAAAAAAGATTTATGAATCAAGTAGCTAAAATCATCAAAATATTGAATATCGGGAGGTACCGTTATATGGGGGCTATACGAAGAACTGGACCTGCACAGACAATTTTCTGTCTTAGGCTGTAGCATCCATTACGAACATCAATTACAAAATTTGAAACAATTCCGCCGAATAATGTCGCCAAAATCATCAAAATACCGAACATGGGGAGGTACTGTTATATGGCGGCTAAACGAAGGCGTGGATCTGCACATACAATTTTCCGCATGGCCTGTATCTATGACGAACTTCAAATATTAAATTTGAAACATTTCCGGTGAATAATGTCGCTTAAATCATCAAAATACCGAATATCTGGAGGTACCATTATATGAGGGCTATACCAAAAGGTGGGCCTACAAGACCCATTTTTAATACCAAAAGTCCTGCAGCCATAATACACATTTGAGTACAATTGTATCAACCTACTTCATTTCGTTTCGTTAGTTTGATGGTTTCAGAGACTTTGTTCGCCAGACTTGTTACAAATTTGGTATTTAAAATTCATAATGGATACTACAGCCTAAGACAGAAAATTGTCCGTGCAGGTCCAAGTCATCGTTTATACCCTAATATAAAGGCTACATTCGGTATTTTTAAGACGCCAAGAAAGTGGACGGAAGAAAACAGCAACATCAGCTGAAACGGTTCGACAAGTAAAAAAGCGACTTGATCGAAACCCACCTCGCAGTGGCCGAAAAATAGCTCGTGAGCTGAACATATCGCAATATTCCATTCGGTAAAAATTGAAGAATGAGCTCGAGTTAAGGCCACTGAAATTCTAAAAAGTGTAGGAATTTTTACCACAACAGAAAAAACTAGACTCAAAAGAGCTAAAGTTTTGCTTCGCTTGGCCGAAAGTGGTGAACTGCCGAATTTGGGTTTCTCCGATGAGAAAACATTCGTTGTCCAGCAGTTTGTAAACAAACAAAATGATCGTGCTTACTTGCCAAAGATGTCAGCTGAAAATGTGCACCTTCGGTTGGCCACCAGAATTCAAGCGCGGCCATGGTGATGGTGATGGTGTGGGCCGCCATAACAGCCAAAATACCGCAGTGCAACATGCGGGCAGCGTGTGACGGTTTCAGTGGCCGTTTGAAGGCCATAATTCGTGCAAAAGGTGACCACTTACAACAAATCTAAACTTATTCTAAATTGATCCATTGATGCTATTTCCGACATTTTCAGCTTTCATTTAATAAAATTTAAAAAAAAAAATAAAAAGTATGACGTTTGACTTTGTTGCAGCTTTTTATCTCACCCTGTACATGTAGTGTTTTTTGTGAGCTCGGTAATTATTATTCCTTATTCCTTAGTTCAAAACATACTGGTAAATAAGATTGTATATTTAATGGATTATTCAGATCATACAAGTTTTTGCAGGGTTGTTACTGCAACTTTTAATGATTTGTACTATATAGTACATTTTAGAAGTCCATTAGGACGTTAATGGCATATATCCTATGTTCAATAGATATTCTAAAAGCTGTGATGTGTTCTTTGTCCACTTTTGTACGATTAATTTAATATACCCAATAATTTAAAAAATATATATAATTGCATAATCTGATTTCATAAATATTGCTTACTAAATTACAAACCAATTAACCAAATTCCAACTGTCTCTCTCCAGATACAATAATGCTCCTTCATAATTATGTGAAGTTGTTGATCTTTGTCATATAAGTTATAGACAATCACTATGATATTTTTTAGAAAACAGCAAAAAATCCTTTTTTTTTTTTTTTGTATTTTAATCCCAAAAATTTAATGTTTTAAAAATTCCGGATAAATATTCCATCCATTTCAAAACAGTATCCTTGACAATGGTTCAAAGCATTTAAACAGTTAAGTTCTTCTTCCAACATTCTACTTTATCTTCATTACATAAAATGTCCGATAAACAAAGTTTTGAATTACTAAATACTTTCCAATTAGTACTAATGGTGTTCGGGTTACATAGCTCCTCACCTCTCACTCTTCTGCCTTCCCATGAACCGTGTGCTTACGTGTGTTTGTGTGTCATGCTCCGTACAATAGGTTTTAATTATGTAAAGGACACGCAGTGAACGGCAAAGGGTCACATTCAAAAAGGGAGGAACAATTGTGCGAAGCTGATGTTTAAAATTCCTTTGCAGGATTAGGTGTAATAGGATATGTGCCAATTTAAATTAGAATTGACGGTAATTTTCTTTATTTCGAAACTCTTGGCAATGACAAAAGTTTAGTTTATGGACGAACGAGGGGGTTGTCTTTAATTTGTAACCGAATATTTAAAGTTTACCAGTTAACGATTATTTGAGTTAGAGTATTGAGTTAATTGTGAGTGTGTGCTTATTATTTCGGGTTCAAAGGCTAGTTGGTCATTGCTTACGTTTCTCTTAAACGTGTTTTGAAAGACTTACTTTTGAAAAGATAGATTTGTTGAAAATTTCTCAATAAATGTAACACTTACTCACAGTTTCTTCACATGTCAATAAGTCAGACTGATAATAAAATTATTTTTTATATAGATAAGTCAAAATGTTGGAAAAGGTACAGCATGGGACGTAACTGCCATTGGTCGACTGGTGAGGGTTAAAACTATGAAATTTCATTTTCTAAGCGGAGGGATTAAAGATAAGAGATGTTTTTATAAATTCGAAAATAAAACCAATACTGCGAAAAAATCAAGGAGTTATAGCTAACGTAAAAAACTGAAATATTTAACATAAAAAATCTAAGATTTAAACATCCTAAAAATGCGAAAATCTCAATTATAAAGGAGCTATGGCCAAAATAAGAAAACTAAATGCTAATCTATATTAAAACAAGTAAGCAAAAGCTTTAGCCGCGCGAGGCCGACCATGTGATACCCTACAACACTACAATATGTTAGAAGCCCCTTTATGTCCAAATCCATTTTGGAAGATTTCGCTTTTGAAATTATGTGACGGAGCACGGCCGAGATATTACCCTTATCATTATGAACAGGGACATTTGCCCAATATTTACGCACTCCGTCGTGCTGTTAGTTGTTTTGGAATGCTAGAATTCTTCCCTGTCCTTAACGCTCTTCTCAGGCGTGTCGAATGGCTTCAATTGTGTGATCAGAATTTTTTTCCGTTTTTGGTCCATTTCAACCCCAAAATATATTGCGGACATCTTTAAAAACAATAGGTCTAGACCTTCTGTGCCTAAACCTACCCTTTTTCGTGAGGATCGGACGATAATTGCAGAATGTATATAATAACCCCAATCTGTGTTGTAAGGTGAAAAAAATATTACAAAGTATACATTTCAATACTAAGTCAAATTGAAAAAATCGCATGCGATAAAATAAATGAAAAAATAACAAAATGTCACAAAATACTACAAAATCTATATTAACATCATTATTATCATCTTTTTATGCGATTTTTTTAGATTTTATTCTTTTATGCCAAGAGGCCATTCTGAATTGACAAAATTTGTCGAAATCTGTCCAGCCATTCTTGAGATATAAGCATTCTTGCTAACATCCCCTTCCTTTGTATACACACATTGTACATATTTCGCTATATATATCAAAAAAAAATAATATCGACGTCTACGTAACGGTCAGAATTGACCTGTTCGTTTATTTGTGATTTCGCCGATATTGAAAATATTCGCGGTTTAATGGAAAATTTGACTTTTATTTAACACAGATGTTATGGTCTATTTCACCAACTAAATATAACCCGATGACCATCAAAATCGGAAGACTCCTGCCCAGTCCTGAGCTCTAGCTCCATGCTAACTTCCACGTCGATTGGTCCATCCATCCACCTGTAGAGCAACTGCAAAATCAGGAAATTTTTCAGTTTTTTGTCCATTTCAACCCCTAAATATTATGCGGTAATCTCCAAAAGAAATAGGGTTCTACTCTGACCTTAACCCCACCTCAATTTTAATCGGGCCATAATTGCGACCTGTAGAGTGATTACAAATTAACATGCACAGACGGACAGACGGACAGACGGACGGACGGACATACATAGCTAGATCGACTCAGCTCGGCGAGTTGGAAGATCCATATATACTTTCCTATGTACGAAACCAATATTTCGTGGTGTTACATAATTTTTAGCCCAATCAGACTTATAATATATAAAGAAATAATGTGATTGACTGACGGATTGACTTAACGATTCATCAACACCCAGACAAAACGGCTGAAGCTAGAATCTTGAAATTTTGTATGAGGGTCACTCTTGTTCCAAAGGAGTCAGATAAGGCTAAATTTATTATTATTATTTTTTTTTTTTTTTTTTGGAAATACGTACTAGAACAGTACGAAAAGTATAAAAAGGTACTAAATATGGTACCCCTTGCATTTGAGAAAGCAATAGAGCAAGAGCTCTTACATTTGGAATGACGGTCACTGATGGATTGATATGTGATAGCTGTGCCTAAGGGTTTTTGGAAATTCGCAATACGAATATTTACTATATTTGATATAATTTCATATCATGTGAACAATTAGAGCTAAAAACTTGAAATTTGAAATGGGAATCAAGGATAAGTAGAGTCGATGCAAGGAGGTAGGTGGAGGTGGCGGAGCGGACCAGTGGGATATGAAGCTAGTTTTAGAATTATTTACTTAG